AATTTTTCCGTTTTCGGAGATTTCGAGTTTCAGGTGATGGCGTTTATGGCAACGCCTTTATTACATAAGTCGGCTCAAGGAGACCTGGCTGGAGTTGGGGCGAATTTGATGCTAAAAACTTCGATTGGAAATATCGGGGAGTGTGGGAGATTCGGCGAGTTATGTGCTGATGTTACTTACGTGAGTGATCTGATGGGAAAAATTGCTGAGGAAATTTGTGGGAAATTTCAGGTCCCATACAGAAAGTTGAATCCGGGATCGGAAGTGTTATTGCGAGATAGAACGCCCTTGTATGGGGGATTGGATGCATGTAACGGAGGAATTTTGTGGCGCGCGGGAAGTTTATGCAACTTTTTCAGCGGCAATTGGATTATTGCTTATCTTTGCGGTAGTGTTTAATATTATCCACATCAAAAGAGTTGTGAAGGTAGGAAACGTGAGGGAAAATTATCGATTATTTTTTTGCTGTTTTAGCAACAAAGAAAGAACAACACAACTCCTAGTGATTATGCAATTCACGTTATGGGCTTGCCGAGACAGTTGGGGAATAGTCCGGAAGAACATCATCGATATGCTGACAGATTGAAGGAGCACTTTGAAAGGTGGGTTGAAGGAAGGATCAACATGGTGATCAATTCATCTCTGTCGATATGGAAATACGGCTGCCTATAATGGAGTTTCCCCCGTGATATGGAAAACACTAGTGAAAAATATATTTCACGACCACGCATTTTCACAGAGTATTACGCCACTTCACGTAGAACGGGTCGTGAAACTACTACATTACTGATAGCATGTGAAAATGACGTTCGATTCGATATGGTCAACTACATGTGTTGGTGACAATATGAAAATTTTGAGATTTTGGGGAGGATGCTCATTGGTTTTTGTACACTTGTGTGTACATTTTCATAATATAGCGAGAAAACTTTTGAGCTGAGCAGCTGAGGGAGTCCGACGCCAGTGTCACGTTACCTTAGGTTGGTGGGCGACATGCCTGCTGAAGAGCTAGCCGGACGGGATCCGAATCAGCCTGTTGTTTGCGAGGTCGCATTAGCACGAGATTACCAAGGTGCGGTACGCA